CTCAGGGGTTAAGAGCACGGTCTGCCCTTTCGGAGAACTGGCACCCAGTTGTGTCAGGTGGCTCATAACCTGTAGCTCCAGTTTTAAGGGGGTTTCTCACACCCCTCACCTCTGTGGGCATTTGCAGACTTGTTCACAAACTGAGACACATGTAATTTTAAAACAGAGTGAGAAGAATACCTCCAAAGACATCTCAAGGGAAGACAACTCCAAAAAAAAAAAAAAAAAAACAAAACCAAAAAACTGTGTATAGAATTCTGAAGAGGTACAATGTGGGCAGTCAGGGTACTACAATTTAAAGGCACGGATAGAGGGCTGGGGAGCCGAGTTGTGAACTGGTTGGAACTGGTGGGCAGTGGGTACTTGGTGTGCACGAGCTATGGGTAGAGCACTTGCTAGCATGGACAAGGCATGGGGCCCATTCCCAGCACCAAAATTAGATGAAATGGCACACACAATGCAGTCTGCAGTTTAAGTAAATAATAATAATAATAATAATAATAATAATAATAATAATAAATAGGGCTGGAGAGATGGCTCAGAGGTTAAGAGCATTTGATTGCTCTTCCAGAGGTCCTGAGTTCAGTTCCCAGCAACTACATCGTGACTCACAACCATCTGTGATTTGATATGGTGCCCTCTTCTGGCCTGTAGGCAGAGCCTGTATACATAATAAATAATAAATCTTAAAAAAAGAAAAAAAAATAATAACCCAAGCAGAAGAAAGAGAAGGGCCCACATTAGCTCTCTTAGTGGTATGTGTGTGTGGCGCTGGGCTTGGCTGTGTAACTCATAGGAACTTCAGGGAACTGCTGGGGATGGAAAGTGTTGATTTCCTGAGAGACAGAAAAAGTCCCAAGAGACTGGGATGACAGTTGGCTAGAAGAGACTTGGAATAAGGCGGGGAGAGCAGAAAGCACATGGATTTGAGAAATCGACTGACTTTATTTTTGGTTTCTCGAGACAGGGTTTCTCTATGTATCTTGGGCTGTCCTGGAACTCACTTTATAAATCAGGCTGGCCTCTAATGGCCTCTAACTCACAGAGATCTGTCTGCCTCTGCCTCCCTGAGCGCTGGGATTAAAGGCGTGTGCCACCACTGCCTGGCTAACTGTCTTTATTAAAGTGTGTGGGTGAGACAAAAGCTGTCAATTGAATCCAAAGGGGAGAGGTTATGTCTTGGGCCATTACTCCCCTGCCCCTGTGAGACCCTTGTCTTCCCACTGACAAACTTTTGTTTTGAGACAGGGTCTTTCCATGTGACTCCGGTTGGTCTGAAACTCACTAGACCAGGCTGGTTCAGAACTCATAGAGATCCACCTGCCTCTGCCTCCTGGGTGCTGGAATTAAAGGTGTGTGCCACCATCCAGTCAAACTTTTAAATGTTATCTTTTAATTGTGTGTGTGTATATAAATGTGCACATGAGTGTAGTGCCCTCAGGTCAGAAGAGGGTGTTGGATCTCCTGGAGCTGGGGCTACAGATGTGAGCCATCTAGTATGGGTGCTGGGAACCTCATTCAGGCCCACTTTTAACAGCTAAGCCATCTCTCCAGACCCAAAACTCTGGAACTCCATCGAGAAGTCTGCTTCCTCTCCATCTCTTGAGATCAAGAGGATTTGGACGGAAGGAGATGATTGGGAGAGGATTCCAGTAAATGGTGGGCAGAGCTGTGAGACTGAGCGAGGAGGAGAGAAAGGTGCATTGTGGGGCCTTGGTCCACTCTAGTACTCAGTCTTATTGGGGAGTCTCGCTGAGAGAAAGGAGCCAGGCCATGCACCTGCCAAAGTATTCTCTCATTGACTGGGGCTGCCAACTGGGTGCGAACAGTTGCTCAAGTAGCACTTCTTACTTTGTGTATTGGAGAAGGGCTCCACCAGCCAGAAAACCCCACATAGTACCACAGGTGAGCCACGATTGTGGTGGAACATTCCAGCATTGCTACACCCTGTACATGTGAGGGGGGTGCTCTTCCTGTCCACCTAGGCACAGAGGGAGACACTAGAATGCTGATTAGGAGAGGAACTCAAGTGCACAGCAGGTAGAGATCCCGGGTAACCAATATGCTTCTGGCTTCTGGAGCAGAAGAGTTGCTTCCATGCAGAATGCAGAACATGACCAAACCTAAAAGCAGCAGTAGCAGCTGCAAAACACTTCATTTTAAAATTTATATATTTATTTTTTCTCGAGGCAGGGTTCCTCTGTAGCTTTGGAGCTTGCTCTGAAACTAGCTCTTGTAGACCAGGCTGGCCTTGAACTCCCGAGTGCTGGGATTAAAGGCATGCGCCACCACTGTCGGGCTATTTTCATTTTTACTACATGTGTGGGTGTTTTGTCTGCAGAAACCAGAAGAGGGCATCAGAACCCCTAGAACTGGAGTTATAGATGGTTGTGAGACAGCTTGTGGGTGCTGGGAATGAAACCTGGGTCCTTTGGGAGAGCAGTCAACCCTCCTAACCACTGAGCCATCTCTCCAGAGTGGCCCACCCTTGGACAGTAGCTCAGGCTGGTCAGGTTGGTCTTGGTCTTGAACTTCTGATTCTCCTCTCCACTCTCCAAATGCTGGGATTTCTGGGTGTTTTGTTTTACATCAATATGGAGAGGCACAGAGACCCAGGAGGATTACCATAAGCCCAAGGGTAGCCTTGAGAACTCAGTGCATTCTCAGTCAGCCCCAATGGTACAGGGTAGACCTTGTCTCCAAAACCAACAGCATTTTTCCCCCAAAGAAGATAAGACACTGTAGGTACCACTGAGATTATGGCTCAGCAGTTAGGAGCATTGGCTGCTCTTACACAGGACCTGGACTCCATTTCCAACATCCACATGGTAGCTTACTATCATCTATAATTCCAAGTTTCAGAGGATTGAATACCTTCTTCTGGCCTCCCTGGACACTAGGCATGCAAGTAGCACACAGACATGCAGGCAGAACACCCACACATAATTTAAAATAAACTGGGCAACATACGTTCCTGAAGATTGGAAGCCAACTCTTTCTAAAAAAAAACCATTTTCTCAGGGAGCTGGAGAGGTGGCTCAGCGGTTAAGAGCACCGGCTGCTCTTCCAGAGGTCCTGAGTTCAATTCCCAGCACCCACATGGTGGCTCATGACCATCTACAACGGGATCTGTTGCCCTCTTCTGACACGCAGGTGTACATGTGGAGTACTCATACATAAAATTAAATAAAGTTGAAAAAAAATTTCTCTCTGCCATTGAACTGGAGTAAAATATGAGAAGGCACAGATGCCAGTTGCAAAAGCACGTTTTCCCCATCCTCAACACCTGAGTAGAGCTCTCCCTGCTCTGTGTGCTAGGTGATGTGTAAACTTAGCCACTTAGCGCAGAAAGGTCTTTCAATGATCTAACCACAAAGGGGTTTCCAATCTCAACCACATCAGATCATTTCCTTCCTTTACATACGCCAGGGCCTCTCCAGCCCAGCTGGGGGTTTTCTCATGGTGTCCTCTGAAAAGTTGGATAGAAAGAGGGAAGGCCACAGTCTTCGGGTGACTGTCCCATCCTAAAAGAACTTGAGGGCCCATTCAACCGCTGGCGTGGCCAGTGGTGCATACATTTTCCTGGGATCTTAGCACCCTCTTTATTTGGTGAGCTGTGTGGCGAACATGGACGCACCCTCACGAGTATCACAATTCTTACAGAGAAGCAAGCTGGGAAAAGGCGGGTACAGCTCCTTTCCATAAGTTATGAATGAGAAAGTGTTTGTAGAGCTCATTGTTAAAACGGCGGAGCAAAAACTTGGGCGCCTGGCCAATCGGAACCCGGAGGCTATTTTGAAATCTTTCCAGCAGCAGCCAATAGGTGTGCAGGAGGCGAAGCTTGGTGTTGGCGCAAGCCAATGAGGCTGGCGCTGTGCCTGGCTTGAGCCCTGGGGCTCGGCCCTTGGGACTGTCAGAAGGTTAAAGATGGAGCCCACCGGCGAGAGGGTGCCACGAGGTGCGGGGTCGTCCGAGTAGGACAGGGTCGGCGACAACCAAGCAGGATCTCCTTCCACTAACCTTCGCTTTGTCCCCAGCATGAGAACGAGGGGTGTCTGTCCATGTGAGTAGCTGGTCTGAGGTGGGCGGTGCGGTGAGGGTAGGGGCCCTCCCGGGAGGAACTCCAGATGGCATGAAGCCCTCATTCTGCTCCTCCCGGTGGAAGAATCTGTTAGGATGGAATGCAGAACTCATACTGGGGGAACAGATCAACAACCAGGTCTGTAACTCCAAGGGCCTCGCCTTCTAGGAGTGAGCCACCCTTCTTATTCTAGGAAGGAGCTCCAGGCTGAAACAGGGTACAAGGTAGCCCCACTGTGCTTCTCTTGGGGCTGAGCGCAGGTTCTCCTCCTTTGTATGTGAGCCCCCTCGGTGCTTGCCCTTAAGTTCTCTCCTGGGGGTGTATTTCACCAGAATCAGAACCATGTTGGGGAAAGTTTGGCTGCTCTGAAGTTCCTAAGACCCGGAGGACTGGATCCCGGCTGGAATCCCTTCTGTGCTCCAAGAGGTCCCACCCACCTATGGTGGTCGAACTTCCAGCCTTGTACACAATGAGGGTGATGGATTGCCTGCTGGCTGCAGGTGCTCTGACTAGGTTGCACTACTGTGCTCTGAGAAGCAGTGCAATGATATTGTCAAAGCATCTGGGACCAGCCTTGTAGACCACCTCTTCACCTACAACCCTGCCTGCCCCCCTTCCCAGGCCGGGCCCCTCAGGCCTGCATGCCTTTCTTCCCCCCC